GGCAGGGAGCGGGGCGGATGGGCGCCGGGGAGCCCAAGTTCCCGGAATGCCCCAGCTGGGGCCGCGGCTTCCCTCCGGCCTCCCGCCCTGTCCGGGGCTAAGTCCTAGCGTCCCCACCGTCCCAGGGCCCTTACTCCCGCACCCCACGCCGGCGGCGCTCCGGGCTGCCCAACTTCCGCGCCCAAGTTTCCCAGTGGGCGCTCTGCGGTGCGCACGGAGGAAGGGGAGGCGCGGGACGCCCGGCGGGCGGGCAGCGCTCCAAGAGGGTTCGGACACTCACGGCGCTCGCTTGCTTCCCGCAGCCCCCGGTGATGCGGTAGCGGCCGCTGTGCGGAGGCCGCCAGCAGCTGCAGCAGCCGCCGCCGCTCAGACCCACGCTGGCTCCGTGCGCCATGGTCACCCACAGCAAGTTTCCCGCCGCCGGGATGAGCCGCCCACTGGACACCAGCCTGCGCCTCAAGACCTTCAGCTCCAAGAGCGAGTACCAGCTGGTGGTGAACGCAGTGCGCAAGCTGCAGGCGAGCGGCTTCTACTGGAGCGCCGTGACCGGCGGCGAGGCGAACCTGCTGCTGAGCGCCGAGCCCGCCGGCACCTTCCTCATCCGCGACAGCTCCGATCAGCGCCACTTCTTCACGCTCAGCGTCAAGACCCAGTCGGGGACCAAGAACCTGCGCATCCAGTGCGAAGGGGGCAGCTTCTCGCTGCAGAGCGACCCCCGGAGCACGCAGCCCGTGCCCCGCTTCGACTGCGTGCTCAAACTGGTGCACCACTACATGCCGCCCCCGGGAGCCGCCTCGGCGGCGCCCTCCCCGCCGCCCGAGCCTGCCTCGCCCTCCGCCGAGGTGCCCGAGCAGCCGCAGCCTCCGGCGCAGCCGCCCCCGGGGGGCGCCCCGAGGCGAGCCTATTACATCTACTCGGGTGGGGAGAAGATTCCTCTGGTGCTCAGCCGGCCCTTGTCCTCCAACGTGGCTACCCTCCAGCATCTCTGTCGGAAGACTGTCAACGGCCATCTGGACTCCTATGAGAAGGTCACCCAGCTGCCTGGACCCATACGGGAGTTCCTGGACCAGTATGACGCCCCCCTTTAAAGACTACGGACAGGGTCGCGAGGGGGGCCTGGCGTCCCCCGGTTCGGGCACGTGACACAAGCACAAGCATCTAGCCAGGAGGGGCCCCAGGCTCTTGGAGATGCGGGTGGACAGGCCCCTCCCTCGCCCCGCCCCGCCCCTGCCTGGGGCTGCGGGACAGGGACTGGGACTGTCGGAAGCCAAGGGGCAGCGCCACCTGCGCTCCCCTCCCCCTTCCAGCTTTTCCGGAGGAGCCGGCTGGCCTGTGGGACAATAGCTGCGACAAGTGGATTCTCCTTTCTGACTTCCTCTACACCCCCTCGGGTTCTGACTCCACTCGGGAGCTGAACTGAGAAGGGCCGAGAAGCCTCAAATTCCCAGAGGAACTTGTTAGCCTTTGGTTTGGTTGAACCCGGAGCAGGTTGTGGAACCTGGGGAAGGATGCAAGAGAGGGAGCCCGGGGGTTCCCTGGGACTTCCGGCTGGCCAAGGAAATGGGGTCTCTCTGCAGAATGCAGGTGAGAAGGGGAGGTGCTTCTCCCTGGCTCCAGGGGGGAGCAGAGCAGCGCAGATCTCTTTGGTGCCGCGTTCCCGCTCCTCAGGCCGGTCACAGGAACCCATCCTGGGAGGAGAGCCCCAAGACCCTCCCCCATTTAAGGGTGAAGTGGCACGGCCTGAGGCTGGCCCTTTCCCAGCCAGGCTGCAAAGGGAGCCGGGAGAGACAGAAAGGGGAGGTGGGGGGGCACTTTCCGCTTGGTCTGACTAGGAGATTCGCCTTAAATGCTCCCTGTCCCATGGATAGGGATGGCACCTGGAAGCCACTGCTCCGGGCCAGGGGAGCAGGGGGTGGTCCGCTCCCAAGCACCCCCTGTGGGAAGTGGGTGGAGGGTGGAATCCGCACCCTCCTCTGGTGGTCCACTCAGTCACCAGGTGTCCCCCCAGGCCCTGCATAGCCTCTCCTCCAGGGAGAGGCGGGCAGGAAGTCTGCCCTGGCGCCTGCCTTCCCCGTGGCCCCCTCCCTCTGCAATAGCACTGATCAATGAAATCTGCAGGAATGTATCCACCGCGGAATCACCTGGAACTGGGGCTGTGGTGGGGGCAGAGAAGCAAGAAACATCTACACACAAAGTGTGTGTCCGCTGTTGAGGCTGGGTGGAGAACAGCTGTGTGTTGGGGTGGTTACATTGTTTTGGCTTTTTTTTTGTTTTGTTTTTGGTATTGTTATTTTGTGTGTATTTTTGTTTTGGGTTTGTTTTTTTCAATAATGTTTACAATCTGCCTCAATCACTCTGTCTTTTATAAAGATCCCACCTCTAGCCCTCGCCTCCCTACCCCTTCACCCCCCGGCCTTCCAGGCTGTTCGGAGATGCTTGAACTCAACAAAATACCGATCCAAGTCAAACTTTGCACATATTTATATTTATATTCAGAAAAGAAACATTTCAGTAATTTATAATAAAAGAGCACTATTTTTTAATGAAAACCAGAACGTGTACTTTCCTTGCCCTTCCTCTCCACCCCTTCTCTGCTTCACTTTGGCTGCCCACCTAAAAGAGCCCCTGCGGGGAGCCCTAGAGTTGGGGGCTAGGCAAGTCCAAGAACCCCAAGGCCTGCTCACGCCCCTTCGGCCTCCCGTGTGTGTCTTGGGTGAGTTCAGGCAGCCAGCCACTTTGACTGTGGGCAGTGAGAAGGGTAATTCCTGCTGTTCCCAGAGTAGACATCCAAGGGAGGGTTTGCTGGGAGCCCTCAGGGAGCCTGGGGCTGTGTGGTCAGTGCTTTTACAAGCTCCAAGCTCTTAGGTGGTCTGACTCGCCTGCAGCCAGGGAGGTGTTCCCAGAAAGCCCAGGCACTGGGCCCCGGTGGTGACCCAGGACACCTCTGCACATGGGGTTCCTGACAGGTGGGGGAGGGCCTATCCAGCTGCAGAGCCTCACCCCACACCTCCACATTCCTCCATTGCAACCCTCCTTTCACCTCTCTTCCTCATAAGCACCCTTCACCCTTCGGTTCTATTTTTAGGCAGCCTCCCCCCCACCTTAAGGCACTTTGGGCTCCCTGCTCCAACCCTGCCGCTCCCCCTTCCCCTACCAGCACAGGTGCTAGCCATCAAGTTTCATAAGATTTCTGACCCAGGAGCTGTGGGTTCCAGGGGACCAGGGACTTGGACTGGCCACTTCTAGTGTCTAGAATGGGGCTCAGTAAATATTTGCCAACCGAATGGACGCAGCCACGGTGCTGGGAGGTCAAGTACGTCTTGGGAAAGTGGGACTGCCATCCAACCCCCCACCCAAAACCGATTCAATCCATGCCAACTCACAGAAAGCAGGAGCATTTTGTTGCTCAAATCCATGGACATTCTGTCTAGGCCCAAGGTCACCCATGATGAGCCCCCTCTGCCAAGCCAATGGGGCAGAACCCCACCTCACCCCTGTGGGTTCCAGCATTAACCAAAAAATAAACCACGAGAAAGCCCACCAAACCCACCTCCCTGGAGTCCATCCCCACTCAGAGTGACCCTATAGGGCAATGGTTAATGCCGCGACCCTTTCATACAGTTCCTCATGTGTGGTGACCCCCGACCATAACATTATTTTCGTTGCTACTTCATAGCTAATTCTGCTACTGTTATGAATCAGGCGACCCCTGTGAAAGAGTCGTTTGACCCCTAAAGGGGTCATGACCCACAGGATGAGAACCGCTGCAATAGGGTTTCCCAGGCTGTGAGCTTTTCGGGAGCAGACAACCTCTGCTTTCCCCCTCAGCACGTACTGGGTCTTGTGGTTAGCGGTCGGAATGCTAGGGGACACAACACCGGACTCCTTCCCAAACTCACTGCCATCAGCTCCATGCCGACTCTGAGCGACCCTGTAAGACAGGGTAGTAGAACTGCCCCTGTGAGTTTTCAAGACCTGTTTACAGGCCTAGAAAGTCCTGTCTCCCCAAGAGCGGCTGGTGGCTTAGAACTTGTGGATCATAGCCCTATGTGTAACCATTGTGCCCCCAGGGTGAGCGGTGTACTACAAAAAGGATCCCTCTGGGGCTTCCCTTCTGAACCTGCTCTTCCCCAGACACCCCCACCCCCACCCCCCAGCCAGCAGCAGGGAAATGAGGACCATCTCCAAGTAGGGTCTTTGCCCCATCTCCTCCCCCAGCCTACAGCAAAAGCCAGAGCCCTTTTCCGGATACCCAGCAAGCTGCTCCAGGAATCAGTGTCCAAGAGGCAACTCAGAGTAAATAAACAAAGTCATTTCTCTTTCCCGTTTCCTGAACCTTGGGGGAGATGTCCGGAAGTGTCCACAAGGGACCAGGCTTGAAACCCCACTGAGTCTGCACCCAACCCGTGGGCCCTAAGACCTTGGATTCAGACGGTCATCTTCCCAGAGCATGCCTGGCTTCCCCCTTGGAGGATGAACTCCTGGGGAATCCCTGGGCCTGCAGGTGGGTCCTCCACCTGCCTTCCTCATCAGAGATTCCATGCCACAAGCTGGAGGGGTGCCAGCATGCCTGCACCATCACCAACACCATCACCATCACCGTCCTTGGGACCCACAGTTGGGTGTTCAGCTTTCATAGGAAAAGGGCCTGGCCTCCCCTGGCCTAAGAAGGGACAGCTCTCCTTGCTCCCTGGACGATGAACTTAGTTTTGGAGAGACAAGAAGGCAGAAAGCCTGGTTCTTTCTGCCCTGCCTGTCTGAACCTCCTTCCCCACCACCAGGCAGCACCTGGACCAAGCCCCAGGTCGGCCTGGCCCCCTGTTCACTAACACCTGCGTGGGACTCTACCCTCCCCCCTCCACTGATCAGTACTCCTTTTTCTCATTCCCACGCCCACCCCCCAGTCCTTCCCTGGTGTTCAATTTTAGAACGAACAACACAGTGGAGGGCTGGCCAAAGGTGGGGTCACTCTGGTCCTGAGATTTGAGACGTTTTCTACAGAACAGGACAAATCTCTGTGCCCAATCTGAGCGGGTATAAGATCAGAGCCAGGGGTCTCGCCACCAGAACGTGGGAGGCTGCTGCTTCCAGCCCCAGCCCAGGTGCCCAGCTTCAAGCCACTTGTCCTGTTTCATGTCTGCGTCTGGCGAGTGGGGCATCAGAGGGGCCAGGCAGGAGAACGGTCGCCCATGGGGAGCTGGTGTACATAAGTCGAGGTCTGAGCCATGAGGGCCGGTGGAGGAGTTGGGGAGGTCTGAGCCATGAGGGCCGGTGGAGGAGTTGGGGAGGTCTCGGCCAGGTCCCCAGTCTTTGCAAGGGGAGGGAGAGGCGGGCGAGGTGTCTGAAGTCAGCATGCAGGGTGGGGCGGGGAGAGCGAGCACACGGTGGGGCGCAGGGTCCCGGTCGCAGGATGGGGCGCTGGGGCGCAGGGGCGC